GTCTTGGTCTCAATCACAGTCTGGTCCTGATCTGGTCCTGGTCTCAGTCCCGGTCTGGTCCCGGTCTCAGTCCCTGTCTCAGTCCTGGTCTTAGTCCCGGTCTGGTTCTGGTCTGGTCCCGGTCTCAGTCCCAGTCCTGCATCTGGTCTCAATCCTGGTCTCAGTTCTGGTCTGGTCCCGGTCTCAGTCCCGGTCCTGTTCCCGGTCTCAGTCTTGGTCTGGTCCCGGTCTGGTCCCAGTCTGGTCTTGGTTTCAATCATGGTCTGGTCCTGGTCTGCTCCCGGTCTCAGTCCTGGTCTGGTTCTAGTCTCAATCCTGGTCTCAGTTCTGGTCTGATCCTGGTCTCAGTCTTGGTCTCAGTCCCGGTCCGGTCTCAGTCTTGGTCTCAGTCCCGGTCCCGGTCCTGGTCTCAGTCTTGGTCTCAGTCCCAGTCCTGGTCTCAGTCTTGGTCTCAGTCCCGGTCCCGGTCTCAGTCTTGGTCTCAGTCCCGGTCCCGGTCCTGGTCTCAGTCTTGGTCTCAGTCCTGGTCCTGGTCTCAGCCTCGGTCTCAGTCCCGGTCCTGGTCTCAGTCCTGGTCCTGGTCCTGGTCCTGGGACCCGGGTACCAGATGATGTGCGTCACTTTCTCGTCTCAACTCACGACTCGAAACAAAAACGACCACAACAAATCAACAAAAATAAACCGATTCAGTGACAGTTTTTCCCTCAGATCTTGGGGACTTTCGGCCGCCCGGAGTCGCCCCCGTCGTTCCGCGCTGGGGCTGTTGTGGTCTGGGGCTGTTGTGGTCTGGGGCAGGGGGAGTGGGGGCTGCAGAAAAACTACACTTAAGTCAAATTTGTTTAATTAGAAGCCGTAAAGTACCCCACCCTGAGCTGAAATAACAGGGCCCGGCGACGGCTTCTGACGCACGCCCGGACGTTTAATGGAAAACTGTAAAGTGGAGACAATAGACGAGTGGGTTTCTCTGCGATAAACACGGAACACGAGGCTGGGAGGATAAGCCGAGGTTAAACTGTAGAGTATGAGAAGAGACACAAAACATGGTAGTAGTAGTAGTAGTAGTAGTAGTAGTAGTAGTAGTAGTAGTAGTAGTAGTAGTAGTAGTAGATTTAGATTTAGCAGCATTAGTAGTAGTAGAAATGATAGAACAGTTTGTGTATATAGTAAAAAATGGAAATCTGTAATGCAGTTAAGTAGTAGTAGTAGTAATAGTAGTAATAGTAGTAGTAGTAGTAGTAGTAGTAGTAGTAGTAGTAGTAGTAGTAGTAGTAGTAGTAGTAGTAGTAGTAGTAGTAGTAGTAGTAGTAGTAGTAGTAGTAGTAGTAGTAGTAGTAGAAATTAAACAACAGTTTGAGAATTTTTATGGATAACTATAAAGTAAAAAATGGAAATCTATGTAATACAGTAGTAGTAGTAGTAGTAGTAGAAGTAGTAGTAGTAGTAGTAGTAGTAGTAGTGGTAGTGGTAGTAGTAGTAATAGTAGTAGTAGTAGTGATTTAGATTTAGCAGCATTAGTAGTAGTAGAAATTATAGAACAGTTTGTGTATATAGTAAGAAATCTGTAATGCAGTTAAGAAGTAGTAGTAGTAGTAGAAGTAGTAGTAAGAGTAGTAATAGTAGTAGTAGTAATAGTAGTAGTAGTAGTAGTAGTAGTAGTAGTAGTAGTAGTAGTAGTAGCAGAAATGGAAGAACAGCGAAATTTTATGGATAACTATAAAGTAAAAAATGGAAATATGTTATACAGCGAAGTTGTGGTAGTAGTAGTAGTAGTAGTAGTAGTAGTAGTAGTAGTAGTAGTAGTAGTAGAAATTGAAGAACAGTGAAATTTTATGGATAACTATAAAGTAAAAATGGAAATATGTTATACAGCGAAGTTGTGGTAGTAGTAGTAGTAGTAGTAGTAGTAGTAGTAGTAGTAGTAGTAGTAGAAATGGAAGAACAGTGAAATTTTATGGATAACTATAAAGTAAAAAATGGAAATATGTTATACAGCGAAGTTGTGGTAGTAGTAGTAGTAGTAGTAGTAGTAGTAGTAGTGGTAGTGGTAGTAGTAGTAATAGTAGTAGTAGTAGTAGTGATTTAGATTTAGCAGCATTAGTAGTAGTAGAAATGATAGAACAGTTTGTGTATATAGTAAAAAATGGAAATCTGTAATGCAGTTAAGTAGTAGTAGTAGTAATAGTAGTAGTAGTAGTAGTAATAGTTGTAATAGTAGTAATAGTAGTAGTAGTACTAACAGTAGTAGTAGTAGTAGTAGTAGTAGTAGTAGTAGTAGTTGTAGTTGTAGTAGTAGTAGAAATTGAAGAACAATTTGCAAAATTTTATGGATAACTATAAAGTAAAAATGGAAATCTATGTAATACACTTGTAGCAGTAATAGTAGTAGTAGTAGTAGTAGTACTAGTAGTAGTAGCAGTAGTATCAGCAGTAATAATAGTAGTAGTAGAAATTGAAGAACAGTTTGAGAAATATTATGGATAAGTATAAATAAAAATAGAAGTCTGTAATACAGTTAAGTCTGGGGTTAAAACATGGAGGAGTACAGTAGTAGTAGTAGTAGTAGTAGTAGTAGTTGTTGTTGTAGTAAAAATAACCGAAGCATCTGACACAGTTTAGTAAGTTTAATATAAAACCGTAAAGTAGAACAATAGACGAGTGAGTAACGACGTGATAAAAGTGAAGTGCTGAAGTGCGTCTGAAATGAAACTGAACCAGGGATAAACTCTAAACTTCTAAATAACAAACACAAATAAATAAACAGAACAGTAGAGTTTTTACCTGTTTGCCGTCTCAAGATTTTCTACTTTCCTCCATAAATCTCCATTTTCTGACGTGTAGTTTTCCACCCTGTAAAAAAAACAACAAAAAACATTCACATTTGTCAGTCAACTTTTTATTATTATACAGAGATAGAAGTTTACATGTAAGTAGTAATAAATAAATACTACTGATACTGTCCAGAACATAACGGAACATAACAACGTCATCCAAAACTACTACTACTACTACTACTACTACTACTACTACTACTACTACTACTACCACCTATTTATTTTACCTCAATAAATGAACCTTTCCAATCTGATCAGTCATAATTGAAAACTGTCTGTGTTACACTCGAGCAAACACCACATGAAAATGTAGTTTAAACTGGATCTGGACTAAACCTGGACTAAACCAGGACTAAACCAGGACTAAACCAGGAAAACTACTACTACTACCACTGCTACTATTACTGCTGCTATTAGTACTCACTAAACCTGGACTAAACTACTAGAGTACAACTACCACTGCTGCTAGTAGTATTGACTAAACCAGGATTTAAAAACCTGGATTTAAAAAACAGGATTTAAAAAACAGGATTTAAAAAACAGGATTTAAAAACCTGGATTTAAAAAACAGGATTTAAAAAACAGGATTTATAACCTGGATTTAAAAACAAGATTTAAAAACCTGGATTGAAAAACCTGAATTTAAAATCAAGATTTTAAAACCCTGGATTTAAAAACCTGGATTTAAAAAACAGGATTTAAAACCCTGGATTTTAAAAAATGGATTTAAAAACAAGATTTAAAAACCTGGATTGAAAAACCTGAATTTAAAATCAAGATTTTAAAAACCTGGATTTAAAAACCTGGATTTAAAAAACAGTATTACTATTACTACTGTACTACTACTACACTACTGTAATACTGTAATACTACTACTACTACTACTACTACTACTACTACTACTACTACTACTACTACTACCTAAACTGTGATTAAACCTGAAACTAAACCAGGATTAACCCAGGACTGAACCAGGACTAACCCAGACCAAGTGTGAATAAAAGTCTGTCTCTATTTTTTCTTTGCTTGTTTTGTGAAGATCTGAAACAGGATTATGAGGCGATGATGTTTCCCTCAGAAAGTCGACGGGTTTTAAAAGGACGAACTCGCCGAGACGCAGGATTAAAGAGCAAAGTGAGTCTGTTTTAAAGGATTAAAGACGAAGTGAAGAATCAAGAGGATTAACATGAGACGATGGACGACTCTTCAGAGAAATGAAACACGGATCCGACCGCTCAAGAGGGATTTTCTATTAGTGATTAAATGAAAGGGGAAACAAGGACTGAAACAGGACTAAACCAGATCTGAACCAGGACTAGAACAGGACTAAACCAGATCTGAACCAGGACTAGAACAAGACTAAACCAGATCTAAACCAGGACTAAACAGGACTAAACCAGATCTGAAACCAGGACTAGAACAGGACTAAACCAGATCTAAACCAGGACTAGAACAGGACTAAACCAGATCTGAAACCAGGACTAGAAACAGGACTAAACCAGATCTGAACCAGGAATGAAACCAGGACTGAAACAGGACTAAACCAGATCTAACCAGACTAAGAAACAGGACTAAACAGATCTGAACCAGGACTGAAAAAGGACTAAACCAGATCTAAACCAGACTAGAACAGGATAAACAATCTAAACAGGACTAAACAGGACTAAACCAGATCTAACCAGGACTGAAACAGACTAAACCAGACTAACCAGACTAAACAGGACTAAACCAGATCTAAACAGGACTAAACAGACTAAACAGAAAACCAGGACTAAACAGGACTAACCAGGACTAAAACAGGACTAAACCAGATCTAAACCAGGACTGAAACAGGACTAAACCAGATAAACCAGACTAAACAGGACTAAAAGACTAACAGGACTAAACAGGACTAAACAGAAAACCAGACTGAAGGACTGAAAACAGGACTAAACTAGATCTAAACCAGGACTAAACCAGGACTAAAACAGGACTAAACCAGATCTAAACCAGGACTAAAACAGGACTAAACCAGGACTGAATCAGGACTAAACCAGATCTAAACCAGGACTGAAACAGGACTAAACTAGATCTAAACCAGGACTGAAACAGGACTAAACTAGATCTAAACCAGGACTGAAACAGGACTAAACTAGATCTAAACCAGGACTAAACCAGGACTGAAGCAGGACTAAACTAGATCTAAACCAGGACTGAAACAGGACTAAACTAGATCTAAACCAGAACTTGAAGTAGATCTAAACCGGCACTAAACCAGGACTGAAGCCAGGACTAAACTAGATCTAAATCAGGACTAAACAAAGTCTAAAACAAGACTTGACTAGATCTAAACCAGGACTGAAATATGTCTGAAGCTGGACTAAACCAGGACTAAGCCAGGACTAAAACAGGATGAAACTGTAAAACTAGAAAGATCTATATCAGGTCTAAAACCAGAACTAAACCAGGACTAAATCAAGACTAAACCAGGACTATTTTCTGATCTGTTCTAATGTCGTTTCCTCGTCACAAACAGACCTGGAGTTGTGTTTTGTTTCATTCACACACAAAAAACAAAACAAAACCTGCACATTTAGGCTGAGTTCTTCCCTCAAACTGAAAAAAATCACTTCATGACATCACAAGGTGGAACGGAACACAAGCCCAGGTCTGTTTTTGTTTTTGAGGCGGTGACAACATCAGAACACGACTTAAACCTCACGAGAGTCAGATTTTGTGATATCGAATTTTAAATAAATCGTTTTTAATCGATCAGAGATAATTTTCCAGGACTCACTTTTTTTCCAGACATTCCACATACTCCTTCTTCTTCCTCCGACTTTCTTGAGCTGAGATCTAAAATAAAAAAAATAAAAAAAAAGAACAGAACTCTTTAATATTTATGTTTTATAATGAATTCAATAACACAAAAAAAATATTACGACGAGCCAAAATAACGAAAGAATGAGATAAGAGCATGTCGTCAACATGAAACAAACGGACTGAAAGGAGTTTGACTTTTACCAGAACTAAACCAGGACTGAACCAGGACCAGAACAGGACTAAAGCAGGACTAAAACAGGATTAAAATAGGACTAAAACAGGACTAGAACAGGTCTAAACCAGGACTAAAAAAAAGACTAAAACAGGATTAAAGCAGGACTAAAGTAAGACTAAATCAGGACTAGAACAGGACTAAAGCAGGACTGAACCAGGACTAAACCAAGACTAAACCAGGACTAAAGCAGGACTAAACCAGGACTAAACCAAGACTAAACCAGGACTAAACCAGGACTAAACCAGAACTGAACCAGGACTGAACCAGGACTAGAAGAGGACTAAAGCAGGACTAAAACAGGATTAAAATAGGACTAAAACAGGACTAGAACAGGTCTAAACCAGGACTAAAATAGGACTAAAACAGGATTAAAGCAGGACTGAAGTAAGACTAATCCAGGACTAAACTCAGGCTAAATCAGGACTAGCAGGACTGAACCAGGACTGAACCAGGACTAACCAGGACTAGAAGACGGTCTAAACCAGGAATAAACCAGGACTAAAGCAGGACTGAACCGGGACTAAAGCAGGACCAAACCAGGACTAGAACAGGTCGAAACCAGGACTAAAATAGGACTAAATCATGACTAAAGCAGGACTAAAGTAAGACTAAATCAGGACAACACCAGGACTAAACTACGACTAAACCAGGACTAAAACAGAACTAAACTAGGACTGACCCAGAACTAAACCAGGACTATATCACGACTAAACCAGGACTAAATAAGAACTAAATCAGGTCTAAGCCAAGACTGAAGCAGAACTAAAAAAGTTCCAAAGCTGTTGTAAATCAGACCTAATCCAGAACAAAATCAGGACTAAACCCGGTCTAAACCTGGTCTAAACCTGATCTAAACCTGATAAAAAACCCGGTCTAATCCCAGTCTAAACCCGGTCTAAACCCGGTCTAACCCCTGCGGGCACAGACCTTGTTCTTGATCTTGCGTCGGACTCTCTTCAGTGCTTTCTCTTCACTCTTGGTGAGGGGCAGTTTGATGGGCACGGGGTACCCCTCTGCCACCAGGGTCCTCCTCTCCTCCTCCGTCAGCATCAGCGGCCCGGAGCCCTGCAGCTTCTGAACAACAAAAACAAAAACAAAAAAACACTTTTACGACAAATAATTTAAGACTAAACCACGAAGAAACTGAACCAGAACCAAAGCTGCACTGTGTAACTTTTCTGGTGGAGGCTCCGTCAAACGCTTTTCTCCACTGTTAAATGTTATTTGTTTGTCTGAAATATTCCACAGTACGGCATTAAACCTTTCTATCTTCATGGAGACCAAACTAGACCAAGTTACAGGTCAGATCTGTGGAGAGGCGACCCCGCTCACAGTCACATGTTTGTTTTTCTAGGTTTTTAGGTTTTTTAAATTATAAAACCAAAGTAAATGTGAGTGTTTCAGTGCAGTTTGTTTGGCTTTGTATTAGGTAGATCATTTTGACTTTTTGTAAGTAGCTCGCATGCTGGAAAAGTGTGAGCAACCCTGATCTAGATCAAATAAGAGTCAGGTTTGTGGAGATGCGAGCCAGCGCAGGGTAAGGACCAGACTTCCAGCTCCAACAACTCTGGCTCCAATTCAGTTTACAGTGAAAAACCATCACCTCTCTTTAACTGCTGCTGTGAGACTTGTCATTTTGGTCTAAAAATATCTGTATTAACCTGCTCTACATGGTCCTAGGTTTTTATTTCACTATTTTTTTAAGTAAAGTTAGCACTTGTGTTAAAAAGTTACATGAGAAAGGAGAAATATTAAACCATAATTTAAATAGTGTGTAGACATGGATCTGCTTCCAGACAGTAAAATGATATTCTTATATTAAACTTCAGTATCACTTTCACTAATTACAGGACGTTTCTGAGGCTAATCTCATTCATTTGTTCCCTGTGAGCAGCAGAGGCAGACAGGGGGTAGTTTTATTGAGTTTGACTTAAAACAAAGCTCGGTTTAGTTGAGCTGAGTCATCAAATTACACACAGACTGATTATAGCCCCGGGGGGAGAGCTTCAAACTTCACTTTTACACTTTTACGTTCAAAAACACTGTTCAGATATCATGAAGATGTCACTGAGGATCATTTACACACACGGAAAAAACAGATAAAAACTTTTACTTAAGGTACACGGTGTCCTAAAAAGCTTGACATAATTTTGCAGCCAATTCTGGTTGAAATAAACTCAAATTTTCACAGAATGTAAAGAAACAGATCAAGATTTTATGTTTAATGTTTTATTTTTGTTCTGTTTTCAGGTTGAGTCGTTCACTCCCAAAGAGAAGGACTTTCGCGTTCTGGAATCTGCTCGCACAAAGTCACTCAAAAAAATGTTCAACACCTAAACTGTTCAAACTGCTTTTAAAATGATGTCAAATTATCTGGGACACCCTGTATTATGTTTTTATTTAAGTTTAATTTTTTAGTTAAATTTTTTTCCATACATTTAAAAGACATCTTGCCCCAGTACAGATGTGTTGTATAAATCCGCTGTGTTCTGTTTGCATCTAATTATAAATCATTTTATTGCCCAAGACCCAGGAAAGTGCGCTGTTAGCATGCTAGTTGTTGATTAAAGTGCCGGTTCCCGCACCTAATCTTGAACCAACTCACATGTTCATGCCGGAAATCAGAGCATTCAAGAACTGAAAAGTTAAACTTAAGTTAGTAAAAGTTGTTTTTTCTAAGTGAATCGTGACGACACAGTAGACGTCAGCAGGTTCATCCAGGTCACACGAGATAAAGAACAAAGAGCAGCTGAAACTTGAAAAGTTTTAAGTCTACAAAAACTCTTCCGTCCTGTTGGTTTTGCATGTGTCCGTGTTCTCCTGATAAGATTCTGTCTTTGTATTGGGCGTCGCTGTCGTCTTCTCCACAGTAGATCCATGTTGTGTCAGAGTTTGGTACATAAATAATCTTGTATAAGTACAAACACTCGCTGGTGTTGATGATGTGATCCATGATTGTTATTTTCCTCCTGTGACGTCTGTTTTCATATGGCCTTGTTTTTATTTGGTGGTAAATCCACACCCTCTGCAGATGACGAGTTCATGTAAATGGTTTGAACTCGGCTCATTCTTCGGTGAGAACTTTGGTTCCCAGTGGAACTGGTGCAGGAACCGACATGACACAGTTCTGACCTGAAAACAGCTTCATTGGTCCAGGCAGGTTCATCGTGCTCCATGGGCGTAGACTCGTCTATGTGCTCTAAGACTTGCTCTGATCCAGCTCAACGTCGTTCTAAAGCTTTATTTCTGGACTTTTTCAGTATCTACCCCTCTGGAAAACGAGGATCTAGTTTCGATACCAGTTTCAGTATCGATTAGATTTAGATTTTGGTGTGGTGTTGGACTCACGTGTGGGGCGGTGAGCAGGGGGGAGGTGGAGATGGCGGCCGAAGCTCCCGTGGCGCGGCCCGGTCTCTGAGGCGGGGGCGAGGACGGGGGCAGGGACCCGTCGCTGTCGCCGTGGTTACTGCTCGGGGGGGTCGGGGGCAGCTGCAGAGACTCGTCTGACGGAGACACGCAAAAAAATACAAGTTTAGACACGAGTTTAGTCTCCAGTTAAACTCACGCGCTCTTTACAGGTATAAAACTAAACCTGGACTCAACTAGGACTAAACCAGGACTAAACCAAGACTAAACCAGGACTAAACCAGGACTAAACCAGGACTAAACCAAGACTAAACCAGGACTAAAACAGGACTAAACCAGGACTGAACTTGGACTAAAACAGGACTAAACCAGGACTGATCCCAGGACTGAATCAGAGTTGAACCAGGTCTAAACCAGGACTAAAACTGGACTAAACCAGGATTAAACCAAGACTGAACCAGGACTGAACTAGGACTAAACCAGGACTAAACCAGGACTGATCCCAGGACTGAACCAAGACGACTAAACCAGGACTGAACTAGGACTAAAACAGAACTAAACCCAGACTAAACCAAGATTAAACCAGGACTAAAACAGGACTAAACAAGAACTAAAACAGGACTGAGCATCGGAACGGGCCCGTCCTGTTTTAGTCCTGTTTTAGTCCTGTTTTAGTCCCGGTTCAGTCCTGGTTTAGTCCTGGTTCAGTCCGTATGCAGCTCTGAAGTTGTTTTTCCGTTTTCTTATTTTTGGTTTTATTTTGAAAAACGAATGAGCGAACGACACACACAGATTTTTAGTTCAGTAGATTTTCCAGCTCTGAAACTTTCCAAAAGATTCTAGTGAAGGTGTTTGGAGTTTAAAAACACACGTCCATCACGTCAATAAAAAACAGGCGCTGACAAGCTACAAAGTCGAGTTTTGGAAGATTCGGTTGTTTTTGAAATGGTTTTGTATTTCATTTATTCAAGCTGCGACGGCCACAAGTATGTCAACCATTCAAAACTGCTCAAAAATAAATTTATTCAAACCACGATCTTAGAAAAAAAAATTGACAACACATTGTTACATAGAAAAAAAAATACAAGACTTTTTTCTTTTTTTCATTCATATTCTTTTTAAACTCGAAAGAGGCTTGACCCGGTCTGACCCTCGACAAAAGTGACGAACACAAACAAATTTGCACGAGTTTAACAGAGTGTAACAGGGCCGTCGGCAGAAAATTTTGGGGCCCGGGGCAAAAAAACCAACCATGGGCCCCCCTCTAATATTAATTAATAAAAGGCAGAGGTTCTAATTCTGAGCCCCTAAGACGCTGGGACCCGGGACAAAAGACCCGTTTGTTCCACCCCTGTCGACTTCTCTGTATTTTAGCAAAGTTTAGATTAAAAAGGGAGTATTAAACTTCTTTGGGTATTAAAAAACGAACAAAAAATTACATATTTAGATCACCATGTTACGTTTTGTTGTTTTTTGAAACAATATATCAACGTAAAATAATAAATTTCAGTTTTGTTTTTGATGCTCTGGAGTCTCCGCGCACTTTGCTCCCCGCGCTAAATCACTCCCCCTTCAGAACAGTGTCCCGCCAATGCGTTGTGTGTATCCGTGTATCTGTTTCTTTTGTTTTCGTTTGTGTTTTTGTGAAGCGCTTTGGTCGGCTGAAGTTGTTAAGTGTTTTCGTCTTGGTTTAGTTCTGGTTTAGACCTGGTTTAGTCCTGGTTTAGTCCTGATATATTACTGGTTTAGTCTTGGTTTAGTCTTAGATTAGTCTTGGTTTAGACCTGGTTTACTCCTGATCTATTTCCGGTTTAGTCCTGGTTTAGACCCGGTTTAGACCTGGTTTAGACCTGGTTTACTCCTGATATATTTCTGGTTTAGTCCTGGTATAGTCCTGTTTTCATCCTGGTTTAGTCCTGGTTCAGGCTTGGTTTAGTCCTGTTTTAGCCCTGTTCTAGTTCTATTTAGTCCTGGTTCAGTCATATTATAGTCCTGTATTTGTCCTTTTTATAGTCCTGGTTTTGCCCTTGTTTAGTCCTGGCTTAGTTCTGTTTTCATCCCGGTTTAGTCTTGGTTTAGTCCTTGTTTAGTCCTGGTTTAGTCCTGGTATATTTCTGGTTTAGACCTGTTTTAGTCCTGGTATAACTCCACCACTGCAGATGACTCAAACGTGCATGAATCTCAAACTTTTCAGACGTGTTTTTGACGAGAAAATGACGTTATAACATTTCCAAAAAAAATCTCCAAAAAGTAAATTGTGTAAACGTCCTCACCGCTGCTCATACTGAGATACTGCCCCATCTCTCTGGGCTCATCTTTAATCGACACGGGCTTCACATCTTCTGCTCCGTGATCCTAAAAACACAAAGAAAGAAAATAAAAACACAAATTAAATTAAAACGCAATAAATAAAAATACACTACAAAAATACAAAACATTAAACTTTCATGCAACCATAAAATCAAAGATACACAATGTCATTTTATTGTGGATACTATTACGGCATGTTATTCTTTCCATGGAGATGTTGTTCTTCCACAGTACGGCATTAAATCTATGTATATTTACAAGAAGAAGCAAGTGATATTACAGGTCAGATCTGTGGAAAGGCGAGCCCGGTGACAGTAAAAATGCATTTTTTTTAAGGTATAAAAACATCTGTAATTGAATAAATGTACACTGTATAAGATTAATGCCATACTGTGAAGTTTTCTAACCAAAGCAATACCGTATCCATGGAGAAACAAGGTCACGTGACAGGTCAGATCTGTGGAAAGGTGATCCCGCTCATGGTGAGAACTCACAAGTGTTTTGGTGCGAATAAAAACGCCAAATGTGTGATTGAATAAATGTGAAATAGGCGGCGTTTAAAGCCATACTCTGGAGCATTCTAAGCAAAGCAATAACATCTCCATGGTAACGAGTAGTTGATGGAACCCCCAGCACCAGAAAAGTTACACTGTGCAGGTTTAGTCCAGGTTTTGTCCTGGTTTAAACCTTGTGTAGTTCTTAGTTAATCTTGGTTTAGTCCGTTTTTAGTCCTGGTTTAGACCTGGTTTAGTTCAGGTTTGCCCCAGGTTTAGTCCTGGTTTAGACATTGTGTAGTCCTTGTTTATTCCTGGTTAAGTCCTGGTTTAGATCTGATTTAGTCCAGGTTTAGTCCTGGTTTAGACATGGGTTAATCCTGGTTTATTCCTGGTTAAATCCTGGATTAGTCCTGATTTAGACCTGGTTTTGACCTTTGTTAGTCCTTGTTTAGACCATGTGTAGTCCTTGTTTATTCTTGGTTTAGTCCGTTTTTAGTCCTGGTTTAGACCTGGTTTAGTCCTGCTTTAGACCTTATGTAGTCCTTGTTTAATTCTGGTTAAATCCTGGTTAAGTCCTGGTTAAGTCCTGGTTCAGACCTGGGTTAGTCCTGGTTTACCCCAGGTTTAGTCCTAGTTTAGACCTTTGGTAGTCCTTGTTTTTTTCCTGGTTATGTCCTGGTTTAGACCTGGGTTAGTCCTTGTTTAATCTTGGTTTAGTTCTGGGTTGGACCTGGGTTAGTCCTGGTTTAGTCCTGGTTTAGACCATGTGTAGTCCTTGTTTAATCTTGGTTTAGTCTGTTTTTAGTCCTGCATTAGACCTTCTGTAGTCCTTGTTTATTCCTGGTGAAGTCCTGATTTAGTCCAGGTTTAGACCTGGTTTAGACCTGGTTTAGACCTTGGAAAGTCCTGGTTTACTCCTATACATCCAAAGTTTTAGTTCTGTTAAGTGCACATCATGTCAACAAGAATTGAACCAGGTCTAAACCAGGACTAACCCAGGTCTAAACCTTTTGACCCGCGACCTGAAAAGTTACACGGTGCAGCTTTAAATTCCGTCCCCGTACAGACCGAATGTTCCCAAATCGTGGGTCTGTTCTGGAAGCTCTCCGTGTCGTCCGTCGTCTCTGTGTCCATGGACTGGTTCTGATCCGGCTCCTCCTGCTTCACCAGAATGGCCGACAAGTCCTGGTTAAAACTCCACTCGAACTCTACGGAAAAAAAAAAACAAGGAAAAGAGGAAAAAGATGAAGAGATCGTCCAAATATTAAAGAAGACATACGGTGCTTTTGTTGGCCGTTTAGTTATAATCTACAACAACAAACAGCCGGGGAATGTTGTTGTACTTGGGACGTTTTAAAATCAAAATACTGAGCTAAAACAATTAAATAAAAGATGATTTCTGGGTTGAAAACGGCCCATTTATGGTACATCGCTTTAAAACGTCAAAACAAAACGACTAGAATCCGATCTGACCCCGAGTCTCCTGCAGACGGAGGACGACACGGACAGGACAGAAAATACAGTATATTTGATTTGAACATGTTTACGTCAGATCTGGGACACAGAAATAAATCAAGTTCATGAAATCAAAAATGAAAATATTGCTCCTATTGTTCCTTTAAAATGTTATGTCATCAGAAAGTTCAAAATTACAAAATGGAAGCAAAGTTTTAAAGGGTTTAAAGGGACTTGGTTTAGACCTTGTGTAGTCCTTGTTGATTCCTGGTTAAGTCCTTGTTTAGTCCAGGTTTAGTCCTGGTTTAGACCTTGTTTAGTCCTGGTTTAGACCTTGTGTAGTCCTTGTTTAATCTTAGTCTAATCTGTTTTGAATTCTGGTTTAGTCCTGCTTTAGAACTTGTGTAGTTTTTGTGTAATCCTGATTTAGTCAGTTTTACTCCTGGTTTCATCCTGGTTTAGACCTGGTTTAGACCTGTTTTAGACCTTGGTTAGTCCTTGTTTAATCTTGGTTTAATCTATTTTTAGTTCTGGTTTAGACCTTGTGTAGTCTTTGTTTAGTCCTGATTTAGTCAGTTTTACTCCTGGTTTAGTCCTGGTTTAGTCCTGGTTTAGTCCTGGTTTAGACCTGGTTTAGACCTGGTTTAGACCTTGGTTAGTCCTGGTTTAGTCCTATACACCAAAAGTTCTAGTTATGGTCAGTGTATCTGACCTATTTAAACACTTTATTCAGGTTTAGTTTTTGGTTTGGTTCAGGTTTAGTTTTTGGTTTAGTTCAGGTTTAGTTTTTGGTTCGGTTCAGGTTTAGTTTTTGGTTTAGTTCAGGTTTAGTTTTTGGTTTGTTCAGGTTTAGTTTTTGGTTTGGTTCAGGTTTAGTTTTTGGTTTGGTTCAGGTTTAGTTTTGGTTTAGTTCAGGTTTAGTTTTTGGTTTGGTTCAGTTAGTTTGGTTTTCAGGTTTAGTTTTTGGTTTGGTTCAGGTTTAGTTTTTGGTTTGGTTCAGGTTTAGTTTTTGGTTTGGTTCAGGTTTAGTTTTGGTTTAGTTCAGGTTTAGTTTTTGGTTTGGTTCAGGTTTAGTTTTTGGTTTGGTTCAGGTTTAGTTTTTGGTTTAGTTCAGGTTTAGTTTTTGGTTTAGTTCAGTTTAGTTTTTGGTTCAGGTTTAGTTTTTGGTTTGGTTCAGGTTTAGTTTGTGGTTTGGTTCAGGTTTAGTTTTTGGTTTAGTTCAGGTTTAGTTTTTGGTTCGGTTCAGGTTTAGTTTTGGTTTTTCAGGTTTAGTTTTTGGTTTGGTTCAGGTTTAGTTTTTGGTTTGGTTCAGGTTTAGTTTTTGGTTTGGTTCAGGTTTAGTTTTTGGTTTGGTTCAGGTTTAGTTTTGGGTTTAGTTCAGGTTTAGTTCGGCGTCACCTCGTAAAACCTCGGGCTCTTTAAATCGCTCACAGCTCTTTACATTGACTTTAACAGCAGCAGAGGCTCCAGGGGACGGGGCGCTCGGCTCTGGATCCACCCCAGG